GCCTTTCGGTGTTCGCAATGTTGTGCCAAACGAGTCGTTTTTTGGAAACTTGCGTTTCTTTGAATTGCAATTCCGATGATCTCGACACTTGTCAAACCTGCAACTTCAATCTCGTTGTTTGCATCTCTTCAAGATCGTGAGCCCGGACGTCTCTGGCTGTTGCAACTGGCCAGTGGCAAATGCGCAGTCGACAGCTAATTTAGGGACCAAAAGTTTCCGCCAGGCCTATCGTGCAAGGCGCCAACGCCGCAATAAGTGTCGTGTCTCGACGGTGGCGGTGATGTGCTGCTTCAGTACCGGGCGGATGAGCTCGGCTCTGTTCAGTGTTGTACAGTACACGAGCAGGGCGTCGCTACACTGATAACTAACTGCACCTCGACTCTCAAAGTTGCTCCGGATATTGCCGTTGACGCTGGGGGCAATGCCGGTTGAAGCTCGATCACCCAATAGATTGCAGGAACCAAATTTTAACCACAGCTCACAGGCAAAGCCCCAGCAAAGTGAAAACCTGAGAAAAAGTGAGAAGATGGGAGCAAACCGACTGGGATCATGTTTGCCGCAACAGCCTGCAAGCTGCTGCGGAGAAGCTGCAATGCAGCGACGCTCGCCACGAACAGAGTCATCTGACGTGAATTTTGGATTCCAACCGAGAAAATAGGAGAAACACACGTCCATCGCTGGGATAACACACACGGGGCTAGGCGACGTGGGTGCCATAGCCGCGGCGCCAACTAAGGTGAGCGGATGCGAGGCGCGTAGCCGCAGCAAACCCGCGCGGAGAGCCCGCGAAGCAGGGCCGCGCGGTATTTGCGGAGGCGGGCCCAGCGCTGAGCTCACCAGCGAGCCGAGCACTACACTTTCCAGAACATTCTATCTCCATATTGCGAGCGCAGCGAACCGCGTGGGGCGCCCAGCCAAGCGAAGCGCGGCTGGTCCCTTTTCTGCTGTGACCTCTAATCGTCGATTATGTCTTATTGCGACACTCAGAAAGTCAAAAGTATACAGAAGTCAAGTCAATTGATTTGCTGTGTGCTGAAACAGTAAATACATGTGTTTGGCATGTTCTGTCATTCCAACCCAGCAAGCATCGCCGCAGTGCTACAGAGCATTCTAGACCGACGATCCGTTGCCTTGCTCCGTAGTTTTCCGGCGTTGGGACTAAGATCAGTGGATGTACGGCTCTTCACGCCGATTCAGCATCGATGATTTATGTATTGTATCCGATACTGCGGCTTCGCTCCACAGCTTCAAAATCTAAAGCATCGGTGCCATCAGTCAATGCAAAATGGTTTCGTGTTGAATCTGCAAGTCCTGCATGGCAAAATCAAATCAAAATTGCACTTGTTGTTGCCTCTGCCTCAACCCGATCCGCACAAAAATGCTCTCTAAGAACATTTTAGCTACCCAACTGTATATGTCAGGGCATCAGATAATAAAGGAGCAATAACTGTTTAATGGAAGCAGAGCAAGCATCAGATAATAACGCAAATCTATTTTAGCAGGATTTACGGCGGTCGTGCGACGTGTTTTTGCTTGGTTCCAGCGTCCTTTCTTTCGCATATAATTTTCAAGACGAAACCGGCCGCCCCATCCACAGCCGGAAGTTGCTGGGCCGATAGTTCATTGTGCAAAGTCTCGGCTGGAAAACAAAACTCACGAGCAAGCAAAGTTTTTTATCCTTTTGCACCTAAACAGAGCGAGATTCATTACCACAGAGCAAATTTAGTCAGCAGCATCTCATCGTCCCAGCGCGTATATTAATCATGTCAGACGTCATTGTGCCGTCCTTCTTCCCGACGCCGACCGAGATCGCCGGTGGCATCCGCTGGGTCAAGCATCATCCCGTCGTGGCCACAGCCGCAGCCGCAGCAGCCGCAGCCGTGAGTGTGATCACGTACTTGAAAGCAGTCGCTGCCGACGACGAGCGGGACCTAAAATTAGCAGTCCTGAGCCCACACAAGGGCGACGAGTCCGACGACCTTTGCAGCAGTACAGAGAGCGACGCGTCCACTCCGTCAAGAGGCCGCACATTGAGTCCGCGTGATCTCAGTGTACGCTGCAGTTTGTAAAGAATTTGAGATCATATTCGTGAATTTCGTGCTGACCTGTTGGTGTGTTTGTCATGCAGTTCGGAGACTTAGATGCCGAAGTGGAGAACGAGGTGGAAATTGACACAGCAGTGGAGAATAGTGAGCTAGATGCAGCTTTACAGGAGGCGGATGGAGAGACCGTGTCGCCACAGTGGGGATGGTATGTCTCCACGACGCCACCAGAAGACTATTACCAGTGACCAAATATTCCTCCATCATCAAGTGCCGTTTAATTTTGAAACCAAGACAGCGTTGCGACGGACTCCCCTCTCTACGGCAAATCCAAGAACTGCTATACTCTTAGACAGCTACTGCGTTTGCCAGACCGAGAAGGAATTTCTCTCTTCTCGGGGCGCGTGGCTGACGCTTTCCAGCGAAGCCACGCGAATTCCTGTTTGTGTCCTAATATATTGAGTCTTCGCAAACCGCTAACATCTCTTCTAACTTAGGTGTTCTCTGTTGATCCTTTTACCATTGAAGCGACGAAGCAACTTGCCATGCAACTGGTAAAGTGGCCACTGAAGGGAACGGCAATCCGTTACTTAACGCCCGGTAAATCGCTAGGTTCCGATTTTTAAGCTCCGTTGAATGAAAAAAAAAAAAAAAATCGCCGCCCGAGGTGAAACGCTGAAGGTTAACCTCCAACGCTCGTCTACAGTTTTTTCACGCCGAGTGATGGTAGAAGAAGGAGTGATGGTTAATTTCAGTCTATTTTGGTTGTTTTGCTAGTACTATTAGTTGCGCTTTACGCGGAGGCTCCACGATCGCAGGAGCCGCGGCGTGTCCTGGTGGATGATGCGTTGATGACTGCTGCCGTCTCTAGGACAAGCTGCACGCCTTGGGCGCTTAGGAAATTGTCTTCGAGACCGAGAAATCGCAGAACGGGGGATGAACCCGCCAGCAGCCTCTGCAGCTCGTTCACACAGTTGTCTGTGACGAGGTTGCCGCCCATGCACAGCACTTTAAGCGATGGACTCGATTGGCTCAGAGCGGACAGAACTGCGCGCAGCCCGCTCTCTCCATGAGTTGCGACGCAGTCTAAACGCGTGAGGCGAGGAGCTGAGCGGACGGCAACAGGCGAGCCAGCTCCACGGCCCCGGAGTTCGGCGAGGCTGTTGCCTGCTAGCAGCAGATCCTCTAGAAGCGGACACCAGCCCATCTGGACTGCGCCACACAATGCACGGATGCCGTTGCGACTCATGGTGTTGACGAACACTGAGATAAGCTGCAACTTCTTGAGGTTCGGGAAGGCGCCGGTGGTCAACGCACCAGCCAGAGCGAGCACAGCGCTCTCGCCATCGTTAGCTTGGTTCGGTGGGAGCTCAGCACAGCCCCAGGCGTAAAGGGGCGTCGTAGCTAAGCCCACTTTTGGGACAACGGAAGATACTTCAGCCTTGTGCACTACAAGCTGCTGGAGATTAGTCATCTGCAACAAGGACGAGTTGCGGGCAAGCCCTCGAGTCAACTGGACCACTTCGACTGTTAGACTCAATGCGCAACTCGGCAACAATTTAGCCGCAAAACGGTTCAAAGTCCTGTTGCGTATAATCTCTTTGCCGTCCAGGAACGAGAAAACCAGACGAGTGCAATCCTCGCCCATCATGGCAAAGATACTGCAGTTGGCAGTTGCGTTGGTGCATCGGCGACGCTTCATCGCTCTGTTCACTTGCAGCAAGTTTCGCGCTACAACTCGACGCTTCCTGCTGTGTACCACCACCGTCTCGCTCGCAGCAGACTCGTGTACGCTAAGAGCCACGAGACTCTGTAGTCGTCGTCGAAGAGTAGCTAAGTTGCTGTACTCGGCCAGCGACCCGGCACGTGAGTAGAGTGCCAGCTCAATTCGCTTTGTTAGCAACACGGCTCGGTCCGGGCTCACGTCGGGCTTGCTGCGGCTCTGAGAGAGCTGTAGAATACGCTGCACCATCATTCGACGCTCGGGTAAGTGGCTGGTGGATTGCCACGGCGCCTGGGCGTGCGGTACTTGCTGGAAGTGATCATCGTTCATTTTAGCACTGTCAATGCGCTTCGTGTTGCATCGTTCCGGAGCCCATCGCGGAGGTTGGGATACGGACCCCGTGGGCGTGGACGGAGGAGTCACCTGTGCCTGCATTGTTCGCGATCGACTGATGTAGTTGCCGGCCTGCAAAACTGTAAATGGCAGCTCCAGTAGCGAGCTCCAGTGGGCCCCCTACAGCACCCAGAGCCTGGGCTCGTTTTTTGCGGCTCTTCTCTGAATTTGACAGCCCGAGTCGTCGGGGCATTGAAACGTCCGCGTGCCCAGCTGAAACTCGAGAAGAGCTGCCTTCATGCCCTCGACGCGAAAAGACGAGCGTCCAGATGCCAACCGTAAGTGTGAGCAAAAGATCGCCTTTCGACGGCATGTTTGCGGTCACGGCAAATACTTGTCGCTAATGTTTGCATACCAAAAATAGGTATCCGGATACAGTAGATGTATTGTAGTCAGGCACTTGGCAGACATAACAAACAAGTAAAACAAGCAAAGCTGGCGTTGGAAATTTTTCTAAACGTGTGGAGCTGGAGCTCTCCATGCGGGATGAAGTGCTTGGTCACTTCCAACAAATAAGCAACATCGGTTGTTACATGCAACTTCCCTGCTCTCTCACATGTAGAAGCTGCCTTGGCTTGCACCTTCCACTGTGAAGCGACCCGCTCGCTCGATGGCTATGGCGAGCGCCGAGAAAACGCTTCTACAGAAACCTCCTTACAAATCCGTTCGGTAACTGTGATGAAGAAAGCATGGAGGGCATTAGAAAGAGGTAGAAAGAGATCATTCCATGGCTGTGGTCGTGTGGATTATCCCCCGTCTTTCAGATCAGAGACTCACGCTGCGACCAGTAATTTAAGAATATGATAAGTAGGATCTGTCGGCGCTGTCTTAAACAAAAGATGGCGATGGAACCTCGATGTAGAGGCTCTCTAGCGTTTGCTAAAGTGTCTGCAGCTGGGCGTAGAGAATGCAATCCCTGCGTGTGGTGTCGAACGGCAGAGTGTATTGTAGACTCTTACAATGTAGAGTACATCTTTCTACGTCAGTCATTGCATCGCCAAATGAAAAAAATCGCGTTTGCTGTTGAAGTACAAAGGACGGCCGGAACTTTCACCATTTCGCCAGCTCGATGCTGGTGCGGATGCATGAAACTTTAATTAAAAGTGCTCGCTCGCCACGTCTTTATCTGCCCTGAAAACTTGAGCCATCAAGTGCAAAGACGTCCTCCAGCACGAATTTGGTAAAGGAGCATGGGACCAATTATTTTGCGTTGGGAATGCTAGATCGGTTTTTGTGCTTGATTTTTCGTGGCAATCGGCTGCCAATTCGCCATGTAGAAGCCAGCGTGAATGGCTTCTTGTATGTAACCTCAGGCAACACTTACATGGTATGTGGCGCCTAGTAGAAGTTGTACATATACGCAATCCGTGGCGTCTGATCGAGCAGCAACAGTAACCCGCTGTAGGACGCCCCTACAATTTTTAGAGAGAGCATGGGGCCCAGGGGCTCATTTCACGCCACCACACCACGCTTTTGCGGTCTACAGCACGACCTCGAGCCATTACTGCACCGCTAAGCGACTAGGGACCACAACAACGTCCCGGCAACAGCGTATCAAATGGGTCGTGGAGATTCAGCTGCACGGCAAGATGAAGTACCGCAACGCCCCTGTCATTGCCGACATGGGGGATTGTGGTGATAGCAAGTATGTGTAATGGGGTAGGGGGATCTTACTACGATTTAGATGCGACCACACAAGGCTTTATCTAGTCCTCATCTTCATCGCACGTAAGGTCCTGCTCTTCTCGCACCACCCCCAATTTCTTCAGCTCCTTGACCAGAGCAGGAATCTCATCATTAGCTTCATCACCTTCGTCTTCATGTACCCGTGTATCACCAAGAATACCAACTCGAGCAAACCCCCCTAGAATGATAGATGCCGTCAAGCTGTTCCAGCTTGTACAAACCCACGACACAATAGCATTTCTATCAGGAGGAGTAACCCAAAAGACAGAGCTCGGTGCCTCCCGCTGAATGTCTGCGACGCGTTCTCGAGCTACGTCTTGCATCTCCAATCGAAACGCAGTATTAGTACGGGTCGTGATCCCAAGACGCTGCGCTGCCCGATTCACTTCAAAAGCGTGATGATCTGCGACTTGCTGTCGTAGTCGGCCGACCCAAAACTTGCGCAATTTACTCTTGAACGGGTGATTCCACGCTACGTCTGCTGGCTGGCAGACGTAAGTGTATTGTGGTGTAATGATTTCTCCGTGGTTGCGGATTATCACCCGTCGACAAAGACGTGACACCGCCCAAGTTGTTCAAGCGACGAACCCTCGGTCGGGTGATGTACGGAGACGCCAAGGTGCAAGGGACTCGACGGCGTCACCTCCGAGTTTTCAACAAGTATCGGATACGGCCCTATGTCACTGAATCCAGGCTGTCCTTATTATTAATAATGGACTGGCCGGATTCGCATTCAGCGGGACCATCTACGGTACGAACCCTCAGCGGCGGTTGGGATGAGTTCGCGGAATACTCAGCGACCTTTGGAAGACACGTTAACCGTCTGGGACAGGGCGCGGACCGTTAAAGATGCTCATGCGACAGTGCAGACGACGCTTGGCATGCAAGAAGATCCATAACGGATCATTGTTCACTTGATATTTGTATACTTGATTAGGACTTCTTATTAGGAATAGACCCGAAAGGGTAAGCTTAAATACAGAACAGAATTTCCACTCAAGCACACAGAGCGACGTCCGGCTTCAAGGTAAGCGTCAGGTCAAGCTTGTTTGAGTGTGTTATGCCTGTCGGTGAACTCGAAGCTCTGTAGCGAGGGTTCATCCGGCAAGGCCAAGAGACTTTGTGTATTGGCCGATTATTATCGGGAGGTTTTACGTGACGGCTTATTGTTGCCTATTTGCACGACTGGGAGTGCTTGAATTGCCTCCCTTTTATTTCTTCCAGCCGAGTGTTGAACACTCGGTGATCTCGTAAAAGGCTTACCCGTGCCTGGTACCCTTCCGCTGTTGGGACCACGAGGATTCAAAACACCTGCTAGCTTTGCTCGTGCTAGTAGCGTGCTCTTATTTTACTGGTTGGCCTATATAAGTAGTTTACAAGGTCCAGTTTGTCCCGGTGCAAGGGCAGAACTGGGGTCTTCACGTCCGCCCGAACGATCGTTTACTA